CTTTGACAACGAAAGGTTGTACACTTTTCAGAAACGCAGCAGAATAGGTCATGTGATTGATAAACATAATGATATATTAAAACAAACAAAAATAGATAACTTGTTGAAATATCTAGATGGCAGGAACAGGTAGCCCAGATGCTCAAGCAGGCCGCCTCTTATCAAAGGCTGCCGTACTTTCTAGTAAGCTACTCTCTAACACTGTAACATTAAATTAAATCAAGAAGTTTTGTCCAACATCTATATCTTCAAGTTTTGGCGTTTTGAGAGCTGTTTTTCGTCATTTCCATTCCCAACACCCATTCGTCGCTGTTTGCCACCAACAGATACTGCGGTATTGGAAACAGTCGGCGTGGGCTCGGGTTGTGACCCTTATAGTCGCGCGTCTACTTGAGCATGGGTTTGCCGATTTGGATAGACTTTTGGGGACTGATAGTGCTTTTTTCACTTGAAATTCACGTTTCTTTCCTGTTAGTTCTGTTAGTATATCTTTCTACATTGTGAGCATACATACTGTAACCACAGACAAACGTGACTTAACATTATTCCGTAGTACTGCCTAGATACTGCAGTACTGAGGAGACAATGAACCTAGCCACTGTGGAAATTACGCTCTATTACCGGGTACTAAGTTTTTTAAGCAACAAGCACACGATACAGTAATCGTTTATTGCGTTGTTTTTCCCCAGTGGCCTGCATTACGGCAGTTCGGAACACCCTTGTCTTCTATTTATTTTTTGCACACTAGTCTTACTAGGAATAGAGACCTGCACAGGAGCGTGATCTTGATTCCTTAGTTGTAAACACGGTCTTGAAGTTTGAGTCGACTTATCCATGTTGTACGCATTATTCTGAGGTTCTCTATTGGGTGTCGTCTCGATCTTCCTAAAAATTCAGATGCTAGAAACGAGGGATTTTCAAATCATTATTGACCCTTGAATTAAAACCTCTATTTCTGCTAGTCGTGCTTGTAGTTATAGAGTAAGTAATTGTAGAAACGCTATTATTGTGTATGCTACTTAAAGACTAGAATGTATATGGTGAGACGATCTAAGGAAGTGCATAAAACTTAAGATGCCACAGGTATTCGGAGTTCGACAACGCTTTAACCAGTAACACCTTCTAATATGAAGCGTACCCACCAAGTGAAATCAAAAGACAGAAGCGAGGAGGTTCGAAGATAAATTTGATAGGCTATCAATAAATCGAGGATAGTGTGATCTAATCTGGCTAGCAATTGCAGGGGTTATTGAGCACGGCGTTCCCACACGTGATCTAGTGCGGATGAGTGACCGAGCGCCTTCACCTAGGTGAGTCCATTAAAACTAATGTGCGCAGCATCCAATGTCGAAAACCTACAGTGCAATTTATTTTGGGGATTTGATTGCGGTCAAGTGGAAACATGTTTAACTGAACGGATTGCGTTTGTAAGCCTGTACGTGTAGGAGGTTAGATCTACAGTCATTTTAGAAAATGAAGAGTGCAAAAATTCTCCCGGAAGTCGAAGTGTCGTCCCATAAAAGAGTTGAGCCTCAGTGTATCCAATGTCAGCTTTCACTGCATTGCGAATACCTAGTAAGATGAGTGGAAGAATGCTAGTCCATTGAGAAATGTTTGCAGCTGTTAGTGAAGCTTTTGATTGTTGATGAAAGCGTTCTACCAATCCGTTCGCTTGTGGGTGCCAGGCGGTCGTCCGGAAGCGAATGTGGTCAGACAAGGGAAAAGTCCGTGATCGGTGGTGATAGTTGAAAGACAGCCGAAGTTTGCTATCCATCGTTCGACAAAGACGCGGGCCACTGTTTCAGCAGTGATGTTCAGGAGCGTGCCCACTCCTTCAGGTCTTTATTCATACCAGGCCGGAAAAACCGTTCCGCTTAAAATTGATGGCTGCATGAACAACTGTATGAGAAAGTGTGTGCAACGTGTTGGAGACGTTGCGTCGATAATGTTTCGGCACGATTGGGCGATCCCTACCTGTAGATGTGTCACAAAGTAAGGTTTCCTTACATGTTCCCATCTACTTGATGCGTAGTTTGAGGGTTGTAGACGATAACTCGTGCTGAAGATCAGTGTCTTCTTTTTGAAGCTCGGCGAGTTTAAGAAGGTCGATTCCTTGGAAACTGTTCAAGAAAGTTATTCGAGACAACACGTCTGCAACTACATTGTTTGCTCCAGAGATGTATTGAATATCCGAGGTAAACTGCGAAATGTAGTCCAGTTGTCGAGACTCACGGGGAGAGTACTTGTCAGAAGGAGAGCTTGTAGTGGCATTGGACCATAACCACACAATCTTCAAAGCTGAACACAAGACTACTCAGAAAATAGATATTCAATATTTAACACGGAGAAATACCTAACAATGGAGAAGGCGCGGAGAATGAATTGAATGGACTGGAGTCGATCGAGTGGCATGGCTCGGCCATGCAGGCGTGGTCTCTGCGGAATGTTATCTTATATCTTCTATTCATATTAAATATATTGTTCCTTCTCTAGCCTAACCTTGTTCTACATCATGTATTGGTAATTGATACGATACAGTGAGTTGGTGTAGTCGATGGTGTGACTTCCACGTAAGATCTTATAGATTAGGCAGTTATATCATGACGAATCTACAAATTTAGGATTAGGTCTATTATTAGAGCAGTACTAATATCATAGTAGACCATAATTCTACAAGCTTAACGAGAAAGTGAGCGGCTTATGGTCCGTGAAAAGAGTGGATTCACGGCCTTCGATATAGTGTTGGAAATGCCGTACAGCACAATACATAGCTAGGAGTTCCCTACCGAATGTGCTGTACCTCGATTCGGTGTCTAGCAACCTTCTAGAGAAAAATGCCAAGGGTTGCCAGGAGTTGTTAACCCATTGTTGTAAGACGCCACCAATTGCCGAGTCCGATGCGTCTACTGCAATACTAATGGGTGCTCGGGTGTCCTGATGTGCAAGCGTTGTTGCTTTAGCGATGAGTTCCTTAATTGTGGAGAATGCTTTTCGTGCGGTGTCGTCCAAATTAATGGATTTCGCATTTCCACGAAGTTGATCGGTAAGAGGCTTCATAAGTAATGCTCATTTCGGTATGAAACGTCTATAGAAACTTACCAGGCCGTTGAACGTTCGTAATTGCTTGATAGTGGTTGGTTCTAGGTAATCCAGAATGGCCTCCACTTTTGTTCTAAGGGGTCGGATGCCTTGAGCATCTATAGTGTGTCCTAGAAAGTTTAATGTGTCGGTTCCGATTTGAATGTTTACAGTAATGCCGTGGTTTTGTAGTCGTTCGAAAACGAGATCCAGATGCTGGAGATGCGATTCTCTGTCCGGACTTGCTGTGAGGCAGTCGTCAGCATACGCATGTACGAAGTTGAGACTTCGAAAGACGTCGTCTATGAATCTTTGGAATTTTTGGGAAGCGTTTCTTAGACCGAAAGGCATTCGCGAAAATTCGTGGGGTCCGAAGGGAGTTATGATAGCTGTTTTCGTAAAATCGTCTGTAGCCAAGTCGATTTTGGAGATGACAGTTGTACCTTTCAAGGTAGCTATCAAATCGTGAATGTGAGGCAACGGGTTACGATTGGGAATGGTCTAGGCATTCAATCGCCGATAGTCACCAGATGGACGCCAATCGTTTCTGTCCTTTTTTGGGACCATGTGCGACGGAGATCTCCATTGGCTTTTGGATGGTCTTATAATACATAAATCTATCATGTGGTCAAATTCGTTTCTGGCCAACCTTAGCTTTCGGGAGCTAGCCGGCGTGCTTTAGAGAATACAGGTGGTCCTGTATTCGTGATGTGATGTGTAACGTTGCTGTTTACACATGGCAATTTCGATTGCGATTGATATATCCCAGAATACATATCGAGTATTGGTTGATAGAATGGGTCTATCATGTGCTTAATTGTGACTGGCGATAATCTGTAACCAGAAAAAGAAGTTACGCAAACAGATAAATTACTGTTTCCGTCTACTAGCCTCCGTTTGCGTGTATCAATGAATAGATTATGGTATTGTAGAAGGTCTATACCAATGATTGGCATAGAAACATCTGCAACAACGAAGATCCGGTGTGTGGGTTTGCGAAAACCCACGTTAAGATAAACGTTCTTTTTTCCGTTTGCCGCCTGTAGATTTAAAACCAATTCATGAAGCCGGTCGTTAAAATTCGTCGGGAGAACGCTGACTTCTGCGTCAGTGTCGACGAGGTGGCGAGCTCTCGTTGTCACATCTGTGACGCACAACAGGCGGTTATGTTCGCCGGCTAAGGTTGCTGTTAACATGGAAGTTTCCCGAGTTGTTTTTTTGTGTCGGGAAACTTGCAAGATTTTCTGCAATTTCTGGAAGACTTTCTATACTGGTTAGGATACTAGCACCAGTCGGGGCTATCAGTCTCTTGTGGTCTAGAGACAGATCGCATACGTGAAGTGTATGACATGACTCTGTAATGTCATTCTGAGTCGTTTGAGGCTTTTCTTTGACTGAAAAAACCTTGGCATTAGATCTCGTGATTTCTAAAATCCAGCCGACGGATGCAGCCAGCTAATCCAAGGCGTTGCAACATGTCTGTCTCAGAACCGTGTTGCAGGTCGATTTATGGCTTCTTACGGTCCAGAAACATCACTAGTAAACATACTAGGTGTTACGTACCTGTTGAATTCGCGTGGTAGTGCCCTGAGAGGAAATGTGCACGCGTGCCGTCCACGCCGTGCTCGTAGGATTCGGCTTCTGTGTAGTCAAGCCAGGCTTCGACGTTATCTGGCCAGAAGTGCATCAGTTGGGACGAAGGTGGTGACCTTAATTCGTATCCTTGAAAGTGTTTAATATTCCAAACTGATGACGGAAAAGCGATATTTCTGGTGATTGGTAAGAGATCAACGAGACCACTGTAGATTGGAAGATCTCCTGTGTGATGTCGAAAATTTGGGACAGTAACTTGGGATGAACACTTGAGGGCAGAGGTTAATTGTTATGCACTAACGCATCTGTTATTGGACATTGAACACTGTGAAAATATAAAACACGGGCCGTAGCTGAAGGTCGTGTGACGTTATCGGGATGATTCTTGTTTTGTGTCTCTTTGCGTTCGCGCATCAAGCCACAGTAAACTCATTGACTTTTGAATTAGAAGACAGGTCTTCTCAGTGCTTTTATGAGGAGTTTTCCTTGGGTGATAGCTTTAATTTAGCGTTCAACGTATGTAGTTAAAATCACTAAGTATTTTACAAAATCAGGTAATATCCGGTGGGAATTACGATGTAGACATGGTGCTTGAGGATCCTCACAAAAATGTCATTAGATCATTTCACCGTTCAAGTTCTGATGAAGTCACTGTTGATGTTGCTGTAGGAGGTATTTATAAGGTAAGTTATTCGGATTCTTTTAAAATTAACTTTTGTAAAAAAATGACCTTCGAATGGTATTTTCACGTAGCATGAAGTTGAATATAAATCCAGGATACTCTCATAAACTTTACTGACTCCTCGCTCTTAATATAAGTCGTCTTGTATTTCCCTAGCTTTTCCACCCAAGCCGACACTATGTAACCTATGCATTTAGTAATTTTTGTGTACTTCAAGCAAAGCACTCCTCTTTATCAGAGAAAGAAACATGAAATTCCACCGAAAGCTAGGATATCAGTCAAACAGTTGCCGCCAGCGTCATCACCGAGTGCATCCAAAGAGAAAGTGGATTTATTCTAAAAGCATACTGCAATAACCAACACAGAAAAACCAACCTGCCATTCATATAATAAAAGTTTACCTCCCACTTCTGTCTCTTTTAATTGTGCAATTGAATTGATATTTGCTGAAACCTTGGTCATAAGTTTCATGAAGTTCATGGCTTGAGTCAATTAAGTAAAATTACCGCGTCTAAATATTATGCCATTAAACAGTCGTGTTTTAGGAAATAAAATCCACATGATTTTAAGCAATATCATTACTAATAATCCAGTAGGACGAGATTGTATAAGTACAGAAGTAGTAGATGAAATTGTAAACCTCTAGATTTGTAGGAGTCAAATTACCCAAAGATAATTGTATTAAATCTTGGTAAGACCTTAAGAATGTCCACCCACTTACTAGAGCTAAATGAGGGTTATAAACCCGTGTGAAGAGCAATAATTATGATTTACAGTTGATGGTTAGAAATAGGAGTTTTCATCACGAGCTGACACCAGCTAAAATGTCAAAGCTCTGCTTAGACAAGTGGGGGGGGGGTGAATTTCGCTTCAAAATCCAAGACCTGTTACCCTGAATCAGATTGGTTCGTCTATAAATTATAGTCTCGCCTAAATCTTCATGAGATCTACTGTCTACTTTGTTGGTACTACTTCTTTGATTATACTAATCTTTTAAAAGTTCTAGCACATTCAAGGAGTTGTAAAAACGAGTAATCTAACAATTATTCAATAAAACGTCCTGTTAGTACTTGAATATTCGTTCTGCATCCCTTTTTGAACGTATAGTTTTTTCTCCAATTAGTAACATTTTGAATCTCCCAGTTTTCATATGCTTTATTTTCTCTCCATGCTGTCATTACCAACTAGAGCAGAATGCTCTCTTGTTACATTTCTTTCTGTTGGTTGTATTAATGGTTATTTGTTTTCAGTTACATTTACACTTGAGTTGTCGCTACTTTTATTGAACCTCAAACCCACCCTTCAACATCATAGTTCCTATGAAGTCATTGACTTTTAGCTTAAACCACGCGGGTAGATACAGATTGTCTGGTTTGTGTACGTTTAATAGCCGCGATCGCTGGTTGGAGATTAATTTACATGGTTCGAAATTGTTCACAATGGGATAGATGCATTCACTCTTTCAATCTTGGATTCCATTATTCCTTTGTACATAAATTTTTACTCTTTTTGAAACATTATTAATGTTCAATTATTCTAATTATTACTAGTACCAGCAGGCCAGGTTCCTTTCTATTCGAATATGTGTTGACTATATTTTTAACCTCTGACGTATGCTGGGACACCACCATACTTATTGCAGGCCAGTAATCGTTGTTTATTGAAATCAGGACCGCCTCCAAGGCGTTGGACAGGACTGTTCTATGAGATGGTCTGTTAAAGCGGATGTTTCTGAGTTTATTAACATTTTGAAGGCCCTATGTACAAACACAGACAAAGGGCATACAGCCACCACTCGTTGAGATTTTACATATACATTCTGCCTCCATAGTGTCTCACATCAACTCAGAGCTCAAATACTGTGAAATTATCCGATCAAATTTAAACGAAATTTCTTATATAACTCTGCTTGGTGTAGGTAATGCTGGTGGGAATCTGTTACCTGGAAATTTCTCAATCCTGAATATGTGGACAATGTTGACTTATTATGCGGTGATACTCAAGTCATATAATCACTACGTAATCAGTTGCCAATCAGCATTTGTAAGTATGGCGTATGTTTTGCACCTTCCAAGTACAAAGTACTTTAACAAGACTGGGAGGACTCCACAACCTACACTCATTCTTCGTAATGAGCAGAAGTAGTCAAGAAGTTCGTGTATTTGGCTAGCTGTGTAAGATACTCGTAAGCTATTAGTATTTGATTACAGATGTCTTAGAAATATTGTTAGCATCTGCTGGGATCACCGGGTAAGTAATAGTGAGGTTAGGCGCAGGGTGTTAGGAAATGATGGTAAATCATTTGATGAGATGGTGAATCTTCATCAACTGAGATGGTTGAGCCACGTGTTACGTATGCCTGAACACCAATTACCACGACGCGCAATACTGACTAGTGTTGGAGACGGCTGGGAGAAAGTCACGGGCGGCCAAACCAAAACGTGGCATCAGTGCTTGAAGTCACTAACTTCTAGTCTTAGCCATGTTGGTAGATACAGACTGCTTGGTTGTAGTCCGCGTGACTATCGTAATCAATGGTTGGTGATTCTGAGTGACATGGCTCAGAATCGGTTACAATAGCCTAGGTGTATACACTCTTTGTCTCCCCTTAAACCGTGAGATTAAAATTAATTTATGTCTTTATTTCTGCAAACTAATTCTTTCTTCCCGTACTATGTCCTCATACAATCTTTATTTTACATATTACTACCATTGAAGTAACTATCTCTATGAATTCGGTGTTCATTTTGTTGTGCTAATGAGGTGTAGCAACTCGGACCGATGTACATATGTTCCTGGTCCTACATTGTAGCTGGCTGACTTAGGAATTTTTAGTTGATGGTGCGTTTTTAATCGCGCTTTATTAATATGAAAAACAAGATAGATCGTTCCTGTGAATCCCTTGGCATGGCATTCACATTTATTGTGACGTGAAGATGCAGACGTTTCAGATTAACATTTATTAGGATGCATATCCATACAACTGGTATGTCCCAAATGAAATAAAATATCAGCCTTAGATTCTTGACGATAGTCTGATAAAATTTAGTTTCAGAGTCAGTCAGTCAGCTACAACGTAGGACCAGGCACATTTATGCATCGGTCCAAGTTGTCATACCTCATTAACACAACAAGATGGACACCGGACTCATAAAAGTAGTTAATTCGGAGGTGGTAATATATAAAAGAAAGATTGCAATAAGGATATAGTACAGGGAGAAAGGATTAGTTCATAGAAAGAAAGATATGAAGCAATTTTAATCTCTCCTTATGCTTAAAATTTGTGTTTGCTAAAAACAAACGATTGTCTGAGCACAGTTGCAGCAGACGATCACCATTATCTGTTCGTTGTGCCGGAATACTAAAATACCCACCTAAATGCCTTTCTGTTTGGTTTAAACTACCTATCTGGGCATTAAAGTCACCTGCTACGAGTACTATGTCTGAACGTTTAGCTTTCTGAAGAAGTTCAGATAGCTTTCTGTAAAATCCATCTTTCACTTCATCTGAGCTGCAGTCGGTGGGAGGGTAGGCAGAAACGAAAAAAAGGCAATGACGTGTGTCCCTATCCTTCTGAGTTCTTACGGAGCCGTTTAGCCGAACAACACATAAACGACTGTTAACGGGGATCCACTCTAACAGTGCTTGTTCCACCCTCATGCTTAGTGCTATCCTTACTCTTGCCAGTCCACGAGAGCTGGCCATCGCGTCACCAGATACACAGAGGGTGTATCTCGTTGGCTCTCCGTGTTGCCGAGGTGAGGTCAAGTGAATGACCATACTGGGATCCTGTATGCGTGTTTCAGAGACACAGCATACATCAATGGTACGAGATTCTAGGGTTCTAGCCAAGGAAGCCTGTTGACCGGTTTGACATAGGGTGCGTACGTTGAAGGCTCCAATATGTAGTTTGGAGCGAGGTTTCAGTAGACTTGGGACAGTGTTTTGAGCACTAAAATCGTTGGCTATGGTAACATTTGAGGAGGAAGCCGAAAAAGGAAGTTTAGAGGTGAAAGTCAACTTAGGAGGAGTAATAGGAAGTGAAGACGGAGGTTGATTAGGAATAGAGTGGTCTTGAGTGCTGTTAGAGGTATGAGGGCGGTTATCACTTCCCGGTTGCCCACACCGTGGAAGGGTTCTTCTGGAGGTACCTGAAAAGGAAATTGGATTAGAGGTGGTCTTAGTGATCTGAGAGCGTGACCGCAGTGCCCAAGGGACAACAGCTTGAGGTCGGTCACACACGACCTTTTTATGGGTAATTTTTGTGTTAGCTCCGTACTTTTTGGGACCTTACCGCTGGAGACGGACATCCGTGGAATAAGGCGAGGTGTGCATTTTTAGGGTCTACGTTTTCTAACCCCACCCCTCCTTGTGGGAAGGCAGCATCGCTGTCATGCTGGTTGTCTGAAGGAAACACCTTACCGCTATCACATCTCTGTACAGTCAGCAGTACGACTTTGCCTTCGGACCTTGGGTTTGTTGCTTTTAGTCTTACCGCTCTTCAACCGACCTATCTGACATGGTAGGACCTTAAGGAACAGTTGTTCTAGCCAGTATAGCTCGGTTGCTTCATCACGATAGGCAAGCCCGACCACCACGTCAAGGTAGCAACAACGGTCGGGTTGGTTTCAGAAACGGGTGTTACATTACTTTGGGGTCCTTATCCTCTTTCTAACAGTTCTCTACTCTAAAGTAGTATATCGTGGTAATTGATGACTGGATATTAAGTAAACCAACTTGCTCACGAGAAAAATACTTTCGGCCCAATTTAAGACTAGAAAAAAAATAATATTTTGTAAGCGACTTGGGAAAAAATGTTGTTTACAACTACGAATCAAAAGAATGGCTAATCAAAGACCAATTACCTAATAGTCAAATGAAAGAATTCAAAAGGGAGAAAGACATGAAAATATTTAGTCCAAATGCTCAGTACAAGTTTAGAGAGAATATTTCCGTCTGGTAACGCACTGTACTCGTGAAATATCGAGTTGCGACAATATATAAACAGTTGATAATTCTTCAATCATTTAGTGTCGTATAAACATTCCTGTTTGTGTTTCCCCCCAATATTTCTTCGTTTTCTTCACTATTTACTAAGTTTTTCGTGTCGATGAATACAGCGAATCACTTAAACAAAATAAACTTCCCAAGTACTAAAGCTCCTTCAAGATGTGTCTATCTAACCAGTAGCATCCAAAGACATTTAAATTGGAAATTTCATTGTCTTAAATATTCATTTCATGCTTATTGAGTGCAACGCTATTTTTCAGGAATATAGAATATTAGGCATTTATCTATGCTCAGTCTAGTTGCCTCCTTATTAATTCCGAATAACCATTGGTTGATAACCTTGGGTGACATGGTTCAAGATCGTTTGCGACAGCCGAGATGTATTCATTTTTTTTAATCTTCCCTTAGATCATGGGTTCCAAAAATACGCTTTTCTATCCCTTAAATTTATATTTTTTCCGGACTTTTTAAATTACTGTTGATGCTGTTACCATTTTTACTCTGACATCTTGCACATATACATCATGTTCTGGGTTGCCTAAAGCTGATTAACTGAAATAGTGCTCCATAATAGTATTTAAATCTGCTTATAGTTGTATTTAATATCCATCATTTTGTTTTATAGGATATATTTTTCATTTCTACTCAAATGTGTAATTGTAAAATTTACATTTTAGTAGTAGAATTCTATATTTTACACTCATTGTTGTATTGCGTTATTTACAGGTTTGCTTTAGTAATTATTTCTCTTCTATATCTCACAAAGTTGTGTCGATGATGTGGCACAATTCCAGTTCTAATCCTCCAGAAAGTTCATCACTTTCAGGTGTTAGTACCCAGGTGAGTTCATTAAATATATTGTAGTGACTGTTTAACCTTCATAGATGATTGATCAGGAAATCCAAAATTATGAAGTGCATTAACTTTACTTACCGTTGTCATGAACTATTGGTTTTAAATCTTTTATCTCATTTCTGATATTTCTCACTTTTTACTTGTTTAGAGATTTCTAGGTCAAAGTGACATAAATATGTTACTGTTTGATTAGGATAATTAACGTCGTCACCATAAGATATGTTGTTATGTAAATCAGGTAATCATAATGTGGTTACAAAACCAGAAAAAACTTAAAAATGATTCTGTTATACAATCGAATTTTATCATTACCAGTCCTTCCAAAAACGCTTTCTACACGTAAATCATTTCCTAGTTACAATATTTTCTTTATCATTAAGATCACAAACTATCCTAAGTTATACAACCCTTAAAAGCTTGGGAACAGTAAAGATTTGTCTCGTCCTAGTGCGGGACTCCTCAGTAGTGAATATTCAAAAGCCTACCAGCTATCGTACCCAATACCTTCAGGTATAGCGAAAAGCGCCTAACATTTAAACCTATGATCTGACATTCAGTGTTTTACGTGTTTAACGTCAATCAATTCGTGATTTTGTACAGTTATCTCCCAATATCATTGGTAATTAAGTGCTTCACATCTGATACTTTCGAACTTCGTTAATCATATCTTCTCACAAGAGCTTCAGAAAATTACCTGTGGAAACTAGTCACTAGCAAACACATTATCAGTACACGGGGGTTTGTGGAAATTATTGACTGTTATTGAGATCATAAACGAACCTAAGTTAAACAACCAATAATCCACTGGAGTAGGGCAAATTTGACTAAAATAGTACAAAGTTGAACAGCTTAAAGTTTTTGTAGCTCTCATTTCTAAAGAAATAATAATCCAAAAACTAATAATTCTTTTCTTATTGTCTTCTTTTTTATACAAATGTCTTCAAAATTGAAGATTTCAGAGAGTTTATATAATTTACACTCAACAATTTCCAAGGCTATAACTCAGCAGTTTGAAAGTCGTGTACTTTTAACACGATCTTTTTCAAATGCAATTTTTCTTCATTATCGTGTACTATATTGGTCATTAGGTCAAGCATTGGTTATTATTTTATTTGGAATTGGTCAAGTCTTAGTTATGCGATCGTTCTTTACATCTCCATCAAATCAACGATCTACAAAGCCTATTCCAATGTCTACTACACCATTACATACAGTTAGCTTTTAATAAATTTTTTTTCTTTTCAACTGGTATTTATTATCATTGAAATACCGAAATTCTTTCTGTACCGAACGTTTTCTTTTAGAACACATTCATGTGATATGTATGACAAAGTGATTTTCTATTCACTTCTTTATAAAACTAGACCTCTTTTTTATTACATATCTTCTGGTTTCCTTACCTCTTTTTTTTGATTTTTTTGATATACCTGTTTATTGTTATGTTCTATAAATGATATCAATTTTATTTTTTAGCCTTCATATTGTTTGTAAAACAAAGTTTCTTTAAGAAGAAAAACTCCTTTGTTGATCACTCCATGTTTTGGTCTTGTTGTTTTGTTGTTTGTTTGTTTGTTTGTTTGTTTCTAAATGAGAAAAAAACCCACGTTCCATCTTACACAATGTATCTTAGATACATACGTATGTATAATTAGATTTGAGTCTTTTGATTAAACCATCATTTAAAATGATTTTTAAAAAAATACTATTTCTGTTAAGTTTATTTTGATAATAGGGTTTTGTGAAATTATATTATTATTCTAGTATAAGCTACTATAGATAGTTGTATTTGAGATATTTGCTCTGTTTTTATCTAAATAAATCGAGATCATAGTTGAAAGGGAAAACTATTCATGGTGTTTTGTATAGTTAAGCTTTATCATGTTTTCATTATGCTTAATTCGTCTTTTAAATAACTTTACTTGTTTCAATAAATAAATTTTGTGGTTATCTTATTCCATGTTGAAAAAAATAAGAATTATTTGAAGCAAACATTGTTTTATTGTTTCACAATACATCTTATAGTACAAATTAACATCTAGACTTTCATATCAGTCAGTCAGTCAGCTACAACGTAGGACCAGGCACATATGTGCATCGGTCCAGGTTGCCATACCGCATATAAAACTAGTCAATTTCAATATATCATATGGATTACCTTCTGTCTTGATGTATAGTATGAACAACTTGAAAGTCTGATGCGTGAATGCAATGTAGAACAACGATTAACTTTTCTACTCTTTTGAAATTATTTCTCACTAGATGAAAGTTATTTTCTTATGTATATTACTATTCGAATGATGTTTTCCATATAGTAAACAACAGGATATTTTCCTCTGTACCATATTCATATTACGGAAAACTTCATTGTTGTTAATATCACTGACTTGAACAGTCTAATGCGAGTGATCAATATCTAGTTTATAAGTATGAGATCTGATACATTTGTGATTGTTGACTTCTAATCTATATACATTAGAGAACACTCTACTACGCCCTCAAATGCCCTGGTATGGCCGAAAGTGGAGTGGGCCCTCCCTCCCTCTCGAAATGCTCTCACACGGCTACGCGTATACAACCTCTGCCAGGGAAGTCCTACTCACTGCCTTCTCGTGACGGGGGTGTTGTTTACAAAAATTAGAGGACGAAAAGCGAATGTCCGGCGCTTTAACCGGATCCCAAACCAATGGTGCACATGGGCTCCTGAAAGAACAAACGGCGTATGAAGCAATGGTTGGTCACCGGCTACCATGGGATTGCATCCTCACGATGCTCTACTGCCTTGTGGATCAGACCTTCGGGTCAAAGGCTCGGGGTGTGGCCCCCTAAGAAAACCAACTGCTTCGGTTTGGGCACCCGGTCAGTATCACAGCCCACACACACAAGTATGGTGTGGCGTATATATTTTTTCTGCCCTCTTGTACGAATATTTATGTGTTCAAATAAATAAAACTACAGTGAAGACCTTATTTGTGATGAGTTTTCATCGTAAATTATGGTACTGTAATCTGTTTATACATCCATCTTGACTTCACTTGTCGGACAGCCATGAACACAAGTTCGATTATATGTGCATTGAAATTCTAGATCATGGAAATTTCAAGCAATCTACAGAAGCATGGCATCCAGATCAACTAGCAATCAACAAACACATCAACATAAATTCAACCTATGAACCCATAAGGAAAGAGACCAACCAATCATAATGCCAGAGGTCAACGTCAAAGCTAGTCAACATAAATACATATATCTAAGAATTTTGTCTGAAAAATATTAAAATTTCTTATTTGGATTTCAATTGGATCATCATCAAGCTTTACTTCAATGTGCAGTAAGATCTATAGAGACATGTCTAAAATGTCAAGTTGATAAAGATGGTTTGTGAGTCAATACAGTCAATAAATTAAACTAGAATCCCGGATTATTAAACGCTTTAAATAACTCACCAGTTCTCTCTAATTTAATACATTTTCTTTCATCATTACCTCAGGTAATGAAGTTACTCTGGTCATAAATTAAAAGCATGAACAGTGCGCACACACACATACGGCCACGCATAGGATGCACCAAAAACTAAACATATTCGATAAGGTTTATTTATTTATGTATGAAGTAAGAATTAAGAAGTAGAATAATGTTAATAGAGTATGATTATGCTTGGCTGACGAGGAAAACTAGTTCGAAAAGAAACTCAATTGCAGTTGTATTTAAAAACGTAGCAAAAAAACATTGGACAAGTTCTATGTATCTAGATTTTTATACTACTAGCTAATTAACATAATTTGTCAGTGTTAATTTAGATGGTAAAGATTGCGTTGTTGGATTGTTACAAAGAAGAATGAAAACTTATCCACCACTACTAGTCAGTGGTGAACATTATTGTCTTGGGGGTTTACTCCAATATACAATGATGTGTGTATAAATGTAAGGAAAACATCAAACTAATAGATTTATAAGGACTTTTGTTCAAATTTGAACGAATAGTTAACGAGTGAATGGTAATAATGAAGAAGGATTACGAGTCTTAATATAGTAAGTAGAAAAAACACAGATTGACAGTAAGATGACAGGTGTACTAGTAGTGATTAGAATAATAACGGTTCGAATCAATGTTGTTTGAACATGTAAAGTAAGTCAAAACTTGGAGAGTAAGACTGAACGCACAATGTTATGAGGAGAGTAAATACTAATGTGTGAATGAAAACAAGTCAGGAAGGAGATGGACAGTAATCAACTGTAGTCCTAAACATTAGCTAGAAGATACAAACAACCAAGTACATATGCATTTTACACCGTGTGGAGGAGCATAGGCCACCCACTAGCGCTCTCCATCCTACCCTGCCATGGAAATCCTTTTCATGTCTGCTTCTAATTCCCGATAGAGTGTGTTCTTCGGCCTTTTCCGTCCCCTTTCAGGATTCCGAGTTAGCGCTTGCCTCATGATGAGGTTTGGTGATTTCCGCAATGCATGTCCTATCCAATTCCAACGTCTTTTCCTAATTTCCTCTTCAGCTGGGAGTTGGTTTGTTCTCTCCCACAGTGGGTTGATGCTGATGGTATCCGGTCAAAAGACATTCACTATCTTGTGTAGACAATTGTTTACAAATACTTGTACTATTTTGATGATGGTTGTGGTAGTTCTCCACATTTCAGCTCCATACAGTAGGACTGTCTTAACGATCGCATCGAAGATTATGAGATTGATATTGGTTGACAGTTGTTTTGAGTCCCATATGTTCTTCAATTGTAGGGATAAGGCTCTTTGTCTATCCTTGCCTTTACGTCTGCATCGGATCCTCCTTGTTGACCGATGGTTCTGCCCAGATATGTGGACGTGTCCATCTCTTCCAGAGTTTCTCCATCAAGTGTGATTGTGTTGATGTTCCCGTGTTGTATTTGGGGATCTTACTTTTTCCCTTGTGTATATTGAGGATTACTGATGCAGAAGCTGCTGCTGTACTAGTTGTCTTCATCTACATTTGTTCGTGTGTATGAGATAGGAGGGCTATGTCATCTGCGAAGTCCAAGTCGTCTAATTGGTTCTGAGCTGTCCATTGTATTCCGTGCTTCGCGTCAGATGTCGAGGTCTTCATAATCCAGTCAACCACCAGAAGAAGGAGAAAGAGGGAGAGTAAGCGGACTTGTCTGACACCTGTCCTCACTTAGAATGCGTCTGTCAGCTGTCCTCCGTGCACGACTTTGCAGTGTAGTCCGTCGTATGAATTCCAGATGATGTTGACAATCTCCTCAGGTATACCATGTTGTCTAAGAAGTTTCAATAATGTTCTCCTGTCCACACTGTTAAACGCCTTATCATAGTCAATGAAGTTGATATATAATGACGAGTTCGACTCAAATGATTGTTCAACTATGATCCGTAATGTCGCAATTCGGTCTGTGCACGACCGATCCTTATGAAATCTGGCCTGTTGATCTCGAAGTCGGACGTTTACTGAATCTTCCGTCCGGTTCAGCAACACTCATTTGAAAATCTTTCTTGGTACTGACAGTAGTGTGGTGCCTCTGTAGTTCTCACATTAGCTCAGATCTTTCTTTGCTATCTTGATGAGGTATCCTTCTTCCCAGTCCATCTGAACTTGTTCTTCCTGAATAGAACGTGAAGCATACTTGCAGTTACTTCTATGTTTGACTTCAGAGTTTCAGCTGGTATACTGCCAGGTCCTGATGCTTTCCAATCCATGATTTGTCTAATGGTCATCCTGATTTCTCCCGTCGTTGGTGGGGTGGCGTCCATAGGAAGATCTGTAAGTGTTGCTTCGATAGCCGGTGGATTCAATGGAGCTGGTCTATTCAAGAGTTCTCCAAAGTGTTCCACCCATTTGTTCCTCTATCCTTGAATTTCAGCGAATGTCTTGCCTTCCTTGTCCTTGATTAGTCTCTCTGGTTTATTATAGTTCCCTACCAGTTTCTTCGTCGTGTCATAACTGTCTCATATTTCCTTCTGTTGCAGCTTTCCCGCTGTCGTTGCGAACTCTCACGTATTTCTGCTTGTCAGCCCTAATGCTATTCTTCATTGGCTTGTTTGCTTCAGTATATTCAGCTTGTGCCTTGACTTTCTCTGCTCTTGTTCGGTTGTTGTTAATTACTGTCTTCTTATTCTTCCTTTCCTGAATCTTATCTAGGGTTTCGATAACGATCCATTCCTTATGATGATGCTTCTTACGGCCCAGCACCTCCTGACACGTTGAAGGTAGCACTTCTATGATCCCTTTCCAGTTGTCCTCCATAATAGTTTCTTCTTCTTCCAGTAGATCTTGTGAGGCTTGGAATCTACTGTTGAGAGTTACCTTGAATTCGTTGAGTTTGTTAATATGTTGGAGGAACGTTGTATTAAACCTTTGTAGTGCTGTTTTTCCAGTTGTCAAGTGTTTCTTTAGCTTTCGTTTCATCTTGGCAACCACCAGGTAGATCGTGATCTGAAGTTATGTCAGCTTCTCTCCTGGTTCCCACGTCTTCTATTGTCCTTTTTAATTTTTAATTGATACAAATATGATCTATCTTGTTCTCCGTGGTGTGGTCCGGTGAGACCCATATAGCTTTGTGTATTCGTTTTTGTGGAGATATTGTGCCGCCTAAGACCAATTCGTTGAATTTACATAGATTTGCAAATCTGTCACCATTTCCGTTCATCTCTCCTGATCTATATCGTTCAATGATATCTTCATATCCCGTGTTGCCAATTCCGACTTCGGCATCTAGGTCTTTCATCAGGATGGTCAGATCCTTTCGTAGACACTTCGTTATAATCGATTGCAGCCTCGAGTAGTACTGATCTTTGTCATCATCATCATCATCATCATCATCATTTCTATCATTGGTGGGTGCATAACACTGGATAACATTCATTGTAATTCCCTCCTTCACTGTTTTGAAGGATACTTTGATAATTCTGAATCAGTGAGATTCCCGTCCTATAAGCGCATTTCGTGCTTCTTTGGACAACATCAGAGCAACTCCATGAGTATGTGGAG